TATTGAGGCATCCTCAGAAGTCATGCCTGATAATTTTATTTCAATTTGTCGTTTGGATTTTGAAAAAGCTGTCGATAGAATGCATAAAAATAATTTTGCTAATTATTTTATGTGATTCAACTGGTTAGCGTTAAATTCACGCTTGCGTATCGATTGGCTGACTGAAAGAAAGAAGTATAAGCATACGTCACACTGTCATTATTGTAACAGCGAAACAGAAGATATCTTATACTCGTAACAGAAGATATCTAATACACCTTTAATATTTTGTTCCCAGGAAAAAAATATTCGCTATATTAAATAAAAAGTAAACTGGTATTAACTATTTTTTGTTACAAAAAGTTGTAAACGACGGACAAAAACTTACCGTAAAGTTATTGCACTTTAAACGTTAAAGTCGTTCGTTTTATTTAAATAACGATTAAATATATGACTAAATATATGAAATATATATATTATTTCAATGTGTATATATATATATATATATATATATATATATATATATATATATATATATATATATATATATATATATATATATATATATATATATATATATATATATATATATATATATATATATATATAAAGTATTAAAGAATTGTTATGTTACAATATGATTGTTAGAAAACAAATAAATCGTTTTCTACTTCAATGAAGTTTAATGAAGGCAACTTTTTGTTGATCATAGTAATGACTAGTAATTACATCTTACGTTTCTCAATCTCAACTTTCATCTTCTCCATTACAATTACAAGGTGTAGACAATTCTCTAACTTTTTTTCTACTTTTAATGTTCTTGTTTCTTCCTAATTTACATCTTTTTTGTAAACTATGTAAAGCTAATGCTTTTTTGTGTGAAAAGGTAATGGTTACTTTTGTGAATGCTTTGCATTCACTAAAAAAACTTTTATTAATAAGCTTTCGCTTTTCACAAAATAGTTTACAGTAAAGATATAATTCGGGAAGAAACAAGATCAAACGTAGTAAATAAAAAGTTTGAAAGAAAAGTTACGGAGACCCTAGAGATAAACAGGAACATGTGCTCTGCTAGAAACAGCGGAATTATTCTAAAGGAAGCAACATTCCTAATTTGTTGGATAAGATTAATATACTGTCAACTATTTTGTTAACAAACTATAATTTAAAACATTTTACACAAGTCCAGTGAGAGTTGATAAACTTTTACCTCTACCAATTTGTGTAAGCGTACCTATCAGTTATTTTCTGAGGAATTTGAGCGGCAAAAAGGAAACAACATATGAAATATTTCTGCTATTAATGCTTTACTAAATATTTAAATATATTTTATTTGCTGTCTTAATCGAGTTAGTATGCCTAAGGGTAAAAATATTTCAATTGAAATTTAAGAAAGAATTTAAAGTGCCTAATAAAAAAGAATAAAACCATATGAAATTGGAAAAATTCTGTTCTTTCGAAAACAACAATTTTTAAAAAAAAAGGTGTAGTATTTAACTTAAAAAATCATGGTGATTAAGTCCGAGAAAAACATTAAATTTGAGATGATAAAAGGATAAAGAAACTTTCATTATTAGCCCTTTTTAAATCTGCTCCAAAATTAACGCAGAAATATATAATGTAAATGTGTCTAACAGAACAATTCAGAGACGTCTTTAGAGAGGCTAACTTATTTGCCAGCCAGCAAAAAACCATTGTTGAGTAAGAAAAATATAGGCCTAAGAATAGTATTTGCGAGGCGTCACAAACACTGGACTGCAAGAGATTGGAGAAAAAAACTGATTTGCAACCCAAAAAATTAATGTATTAAAATGGCTAGCCCAATCTTCAGACTTCAAACCCTTAAAAAATCTGTGGGAAATATTTGAAAAGAAAGTAAGATCCAACACATTTTCAAATACGGTAGAGTTGTTTTGAAGAAGTTGAGAATATGTGGAAATCGATAGACGTCATTCCCGGTGGAAAATCAGCTAGCGAATAGCTAGCTATAATCGTAACGATAAAGACAGCGATTTGGCCAAGAGGATCGCTATCTTTTTTAAGTTAGCGAAAAGCTATTGATATTTGTAAAGATAAAGACAGGCATTTGGCTAGGAAGACAGCTAGCTTAATAAGCTAAAGACCCACTGGCTATTGTAGCTAGTGTCATATTGTAATAAAGTTGTTGTCTAAAAAAATTTGATATGCAGCTATCAACCAGCTAGAGATTTGTAGATATTTTGTAGCTAGCTACAAAGTTACGATATGTAGCTAGCGACACATCGCTAGCTACATATCGTATTGCTACAAAATCGCAATATTTAAAGTTCAATTTTTGTCATAATTATAATATACTCAACACTAAAAATCGAATTTTTAAAGATGTTAAAGACATTAGGAAAAAAAAATCGCTAGAAAATAGCCATAAAGCTAGGTAGTCGCTAGCTCATTTCCCACCGGATTTTAATTGACATATCGTCTATGGCAAAAAGATCTACAGTATTTTTTTATTTTGCCAAATAATTTTATTAATAATACAAATTTTAACATATTACAAATTTAGCGGCAGTACTTCTAGAAGATCATGAGGATCTTATTATGAAGCCCTTTACAATACTTTTTAGTATCGAGTATAATAAATATAAATACGTAATATTATAATGAAGTTATAAAAATTCGTAAAATAACAAAAATAATATGAAGTTTAACAAAACACAGTAATAAAAAGTAATAAAATACAAACCATTAAATACATAAGTTTGCAAAGAACTCATGGAAATATTCGTAAATAGTAAAACATAATACAATAAAGTATAATATATCAGCAATAAATTGATAAAAACTCAAAAATAGATAGATGTTTTCAATTGAAAAGATAATTTCTTTAATTTTGGTTTTGAATGAGGAGTAGTTTAGTTTGATTGAAAAGTCAAAACTAGGTAAAACTATTTTGTTCCAAAGAAGAGGTCCACGATAGGACATACAAAATTCGTCGTATTTAGTTTTGCAAAAAGGAGCATTAAGATTGCTGTCAATTCGTAAATTATATTTGTTTTTTGGTTTTAAAGAATAAAGATATTGAAATACCTGTGGAGATAAATTTTCTTTACACTTGAACATAAAGCATAAAATATTAAAAATATTAAGTTGATAAACATTCAAAGCTTTCATATCTTTAAGAAGTGGCGCAGAGTGAGTAAGACGATTTTTAAAATTAATTGCGCGAGCTGCGTGTTTCTGATGATTAAAAAGTGTTTTAAGTTTTGTCTTTTGAGTGCTTCCCCATACAATATTTGCATAGTTTATATGACAGTGAACAAATGAATACTACTAAATTGGAAACTCTAGAAGAGATAACGTTAATGTGATGTTTCCAAGTTAAATTTTCATCAATATAGATTCCTAGAAACTTTGTTACTTTTTCCCTTTTTATCATTACATTGTCAATATATAGTTCAGGTAACAAATGTGGTATTCTATGTTTTTTATAGAGTGGATAAAAAAGTGTCCATTTAGTTTTAGCTGTGTTGAGAGATAACCTATTTATTTTGAACCAATCAGAAACCTTTTTTAATTTATTTGTCATGTTGTTGAAAAGAATATTAATATTTTCATGAGAAATAAATAAATTTGTGTCGTCTGCAAAGATTATTTTTGTTAGGCTTGAAGTTTTATTAAGATCATTTAGATATATTATAAAGAGAAGAGGTCCAAGTATGGAGCCTTGTGGAACACCACACATTATATTCATTAACACTTGAGACAAGGATTCTTTATTATAAACATATTGCTTACGATTTGTAAGATAGCTTTTTAACCAATTGAGGGTGTTATCTCTTATTCCATATGATAATAATTTTTTTATGAGAATTTGATGGTTGACGGTATCAAAAGCTTTAGATAAGTCAATAATAACTCCTAATGTGAAATGAGATTTTTAAAAGATTCTGAGATGTCGCGCGTAAGTTGGAGAATAGCGTGTTCTGTTGAATTGTTTTTTTTAAAACCAAATTGGTTTTCGTATAAGATTTTATTATTAATTAGATGGTCGTAAATTCGATTGAACATTATTTTTTCTAGTATTTTTGAAAAGCCTGAAAGAACTGAAATAGGGCGATAATTATTTATGTTTGTATGATCTCCTGTCTTGAAGACAGGAAATACTTTAGCTATTTTTAGACAGTCTGGAAACATTCCTTGACTGATGGATGCTCTAAAGATTTTAAAAATAATGTGTTTTATAACATCACAAAAGTCTATTATAATATTCACATTAATATCATCATACCCAGTTGTTTTATTTCTTTTTAATGAACTAAAGGCAATTTCAAATTCATCATAAGTTAGCTCAGTAAAGTGAAAACTTGATGAAGTTGATGTTAGGAATTCAGCTGATTTATCGTCGGTATACGGAATACTGTTTGCTAGTTTAGTTCCAATTGTTGTAAAAAATTTATTAAATTCAGCTGCAATATAGTTTGAGTCGTTAATTAGTTTGTTGTCAATTTTTATTTCATGTGGCAGAGAACTTGTATTTGTTTTAAGTTTTCCTGTAATTTCTTTCATTATTTTCCAGATTTGTTTCGAATTATTTTTATGTTTATTGATCAAGGAGGAGTAGTATTTTTTTTTTGCATTTTTGCGAAGTTTTTCAAATAATTTTTTAACGGTTAGATAAAAACTTATTTGAAAAACTTCGGTTAGAGAATTTAAAAAATATATTTGAAAATACATATTATAAAATGAATATATCTTTTAGTTTTATATTTTTATTTGTACGTTTAAAATTATATTCATTTAATAAATACACTGCCGCACAATATATGGATGGTCCTTTATATAAAAATCAGTACACGGCCGCGTTAAATGATAAAATCTATAATATAAAGATTTTTTTACGTTAAATATCTTTCCTAGTCAAATTTATCAACAACTTAAATTTGAAATATTTATCTTACTAAATGATTAATTTACGGAACGGAATTGAGACTATAAACCCGTTATACACGGTTAGCACGGATCCTTATAATGCCTACCTAGCTGTCCCAACAACGCCACTTATACGGAAAGTTAGCGTACACATCAAGGTACCCTGTGATGCAAATTTTGAAATCATTTAATTTTGTCCGCGGAAAATAATTTAATTTGAATGTTCAAATTAAATCAAATTTTGACTTCATGGTGCGCCAATAAAAACACTTATAGAATTTGAACCACTCAATATAACTTGATAAAAACTGATGCAAATGTAGCCAATAGTCACACCAAACTCTGGACAAAATTTTAGTCTGATTGGATGACTGGTGTAGAATTTATTGCAGTTTTAGTTGAAGTTTTGTCAGTTTTTTGCTATTTTTACC